CTTGAAACCTTTTGAAACCAAAGTCTCCCTCTCAACATGGTTAGAAATGCTAGAAAACTTTTGTGACCTCAATGAAATCACCGAGGCATCCAGTAAACGTAAGGTACTTCTTAACTACCTATCCTTGGATGTATACTCAGAATTAAGAATTCAATTGTTGCCTGAGAAACCATCAAGCAAATCATTTGACCAACTAGTCACACTCCTTTAAGAAACCTACGAACCAAATAAGATCCTTTTTTCCGACATTCTAAAGTTTGAATCTGGAGTCCAAGCAGAAGGCGAAACTGCTGCAGTGTACTTAACCTCTCTTAGACTTCTTGCAGATAAATGCAACTTCGGAGACAACCTCAAGAACAGGCTCCTGGTCAAATTTGTAAATGGGCTCAACTCCGTCAACCTCAAAAAAAAATTGTGGGAGAAAAGCGACCTAACCCTGGAGGATGCGATCAAGTTTGTGCGCAACTTCGAAACAATTGCTAGTGAACTTAAACCCGCCCCAGTCAACAAAGCCAACTTCCATAATAATAACCAAGTCAACCGTAGAGCTAATCACAAGTCAAACTCATTTCAACCCGCTAATCTTTCATTTAATCGAAACTCACCACCTCAACCTCAATCTAACAACCAATTTCCAGCGACGAACACAAATCAGCACACCAACTATTGTCAATCAAACAATCAATTTCAACACACGTCAACTAAACAACGGTCAACAATCACGTCAACAACCCAACCGCAGTGTCAACCCGCAAACTACCACTCAGTGTTATAGATGTAGAGACTGCACAATCTCAATTACTGCCCTGCCCGTTATTGGAAATGCTTCAGTTGTGGAATCCAAGGCCACACGTCCATCGCCTGCAACCAAACCAAAGCTGTGTTGGAAGAATCCAGCGATGAGGAAATCGAAGAAATCATCGTGGGAAGGATATCCGATGCTCACCTACCAATCACTGGGTCAACAAGCGGCCTCCAAGTCTGCAACATTCCCTCCGCGCAATTCACCTTAGCACCGACTTCTTCTAAGTCACAATCTAACCTCTATGTGTACCGCGTAACCAACAACCCATTACTGGGAAATGTAGTGATAAATGATAAAAGTGTTGAGTGCGAATTCGACTCGGGATCAGCAGTGTCACTAATGTCTCTCAGTGAATTTTCTAACAAATTCCCGCAATCTAAACTGGAAACATGTACATCTCGCTTATGGAATGTTGACGGACAGCTATTAAACACTATAGGAGAAATTATGGTAACAGTTCTCGTTCAACCCAATAGATACACCCTCAGGCTGATTATGGTCAAATTTGCTAAACCAACTTAAATGTTGGTCGGAAGAGAATGGCTTGATACCATGTCCCCGAACTGGCGACACAATCCAGTAGGTCCCCTTCTTAATGATGAGGCCATAAGCCAAAACTGCAGTAACATTTCAGTCAAACACACCCAAGAAAAACACATTGATGAAATCAAACTTCAATTTCCCTATGCTTGTAGCACAGATAAGTCATGATCCTGATATTAGTAAAATCTCAAAGACTTGAACCCGTCACCCACTCTGAATGGGCTTCACCCATTTGGTCAGTTAACAAGAAAACAGGTGGAATTCGAGTAGTTGTCGACTTCCGTAAAACAGTCAACCCCTGTCTTAGACTAGATCACTACCCGTTACCTAGATTAGAGGACATTTGGTAAAAACTAGCAAATTGTAACTTCTTCACCAAAATTGATCTCACAGAAGCATACTTGCAACTGAAAGTTACCGATGATAGTAAAGAAATTCTCACGATCAACACACCCTGGGGATTGTTTCAATTTAAAAGATTAATTTACGGTATCAACAGCGGATCATCAATTTTTCAATCTGTAATCGACCACATATTATGTAATCTCCCCTGGTGTGGAGTCTTTATAGATGATATTGTATTTGGTGACGAAACTATTGATGGAGTCAAACAAAAAACACATATTGTATTAAGCAAATTAGATGATCACAGGGTCCAAGTCAACTTGGACAAAAGTATATTCTATGCATCGGAAATAGAATTTGGCCATATTGTAAACTGTGAAGGCATCCGCCCAACTATAAATAAAACCTCAGCTAGACTAAACGCTCGTCCACCAAAAAACGTATCCGAACTTAGATCTTATCTAGGTTTAGTTCAATTTTATTCACGCTTTATCCCTAATTTGAGCATGCACTTGAAACCCTTGCACAAATTGCTAGAAAAAAACACTAAGTTCGATTGGAACTCTCAGTGTGACGAAGCCTATTCGTACACTAAACAAAGGTTAGTTGAAAAACCGGTGCTAACCATCTGTGACCCGCAGAAACCTATTTTTGTCTACACCGATGCCTCACCTTATGGAGTAGGCACAGTCCTATGTCACCTCATTGAGAATTTTGATAAACCAGTCATGTATGCATCTGCATCCTTAACTCCTTGCCAACAAAAATATGCACAGCTGGACAGAGAAGCTCTCGCTGTAGTCTTCGCAGCTAAGAAATTTCACAAATACCTCAATGGAATACCATTTACTGTGATCACTGACAATCGACCCATAAAAAGTCTGTTAAATAAAGGTGTGCCAACTATTGCGTCACCTCGCTTCCAAAGATGGTTCGTAACGCTTTGCGCTTACAACTTTAAAACCGTCTATCATAAAGCATCCTTACTAAAACCAGCAGATGCATTATCCAGACTCCCTGCTGACAATGTAACGATAAAAGAAATTTCTGAAACCATTGAACTGTTACCCGATATTCCTTTAACCCCTGAATTAATTGCTCTAGGAACTGAAAATGAAAACACCCTTAGCACTGTCTTCAATTATGTGTTGCAAGGATGGCCTAGAAACGTCAAAGATGTTAACATTAGACCTTATTTTCTAGTAAGGGAAAGTCTATCGTTGCATGATAATGTCATACTTTTTGGAGATAGAGTTGTTATCTCAAAAAAATTGCAAACTAAGGTCCTTGAAAATTTGCATGATTCTCATCCCGGGATTGTAAGGATGAAATCGCTCGCTAGGAAAAATGTATGGTGGCCAACATTGAATAACGATATTGAAAACAAAATAAAAAACTGTGCAGCTTGTCAAATCGTCAATTTCAAACCTGTATCATCCGCTAAAACTTCATGGCCAGAAACCAATCAACCCTGGCAACGAGTACATTTAGACCATTTTTTTTTTTAATAATGAGGTGTATGTGGTACTCGATGATTCATATAGTAAATGGATTGAAGTCTGGCCGGTATCGTCTACAAATTTTGAATCTCTAGAAGAAAAATTATTAATGCACTTTGCTACATATGGCCCTATGGTGCAAGTAGTGACGGACAATGGTCCGCCATTTCAGTCACAAGAATTCAAAGACTTATGTACTAAGCATTCTATTATTGTCACGAAGTCACCACTTTACCACCCAACTAGTAACGGCCTAGCCGAAAGAGCCGTCCAAACTGTCAAAAAGGCTTTAGAGAAAATCAAATTAGAAAATTGTAACATTTCAAAAAAAGATCTACTTAAGAAATTATGTAAATTTGTATTCGCATATAGAAACACCCCCATAACTGGAAAAGATGTCAGCACCTGCGATCCCGTACTTAAACAAACCCCTCGGACAACCCTTAACTTAATACACCCCAAAAAGCAACCCAAAGCCCCTAAATTGCCAAGCCTTAGCGTTAACGAAACAGTCCCAGTAAGAATGTCCAAACAGCACCAAGTACAAAAAGGTGTAATTCATAAGCAAATAAGCCCTACAACGTATCTAATTAAAGTCAATGGAGAAATAAAACTTTGTAACTTAAATCAAATCAAGCTCACAACGCTCTTCGACCTAGAAGTAGAGCAAAAGCCCCCCCCCCCCTTATCCTAGCGTAGACCCACTAAACCTAGCATGATGCAATCAAGCGAAAGCATATCTAAGCAGCAAATACAGCTTGCACCTAAAATAGCTAAGGTCATTAGCCCAAGTTCTCCTGTGAAAAAGCAACAACCTGGTCCTCATACAGGAAATACTCGTAGAGCACTCTCCTTCAACGAGACAAATGCTATGCTACCAGGAACTAGTAACTCCCCACAAACCTAAAGGCCAAGCTGTACCCGACAACCCAATAATTAAAAAAAATAGACCCTCAGTAGCTCAAAACTTAAATTCTCCTGAACGACAGAATGAAGGTAGTTCAGAGCAACCCTCCTCTTCACGTAACAAAACCCCCGAACCACCTTTCACCCCATCTGCACCTCCACCAAGGAAGTCAAGAAGGGAATCGAAACCAGTTATGCGACTAAATTTATAAACTAAGCGAAATTTTTTGAACAATCTGTTTCTTGTTTTTTTTTTCGGTTGACCAGGGAGTGGGTGTTATGTTTGAATTGCCCGCCCCACCGGTCTAACCGTTGAGGGCAATTTCGTTTGTCCTTCTTATGCCCTTGGCTCCTGGCCAAGACGACTGTCACTCTGATTTTTGTCTTGTCTACCTGTGTGCGCAATAAATCTCGTGGTTCGTCAATTCTATTTTCGCATTTCATTTTCAGTCTTCCTTCTTGAGTCCACCAAACATATCAGTTCTCATTGGCTCTCATGCATCTACGGCTGTCTTGAAAAAGAACTGTGTCATTTTTTGTGCACTTACGGCTTTTACATACGTCTCGTTTTCATTAAATTAGGATGAATTTTGCTGTTTTAGCTGTCTCAGTAATTTCATCTAAAAGAGTTTAGACGAATTTTGAAGAAAACTCGATTTCGAAAATTTTGCACTTACGGCTCTCTTCGCTATCACGGCAGCATATGTCACCGTGTGTAGGACATTCCTTTGTTTGGATAGCCTTAAAAAAGTGGAACGCGGTGAGGAAATGACGAATGCCATATCGTGCCATTGTTCGTTTTTTCGAGGATTTTCAAAAATGTTGCACTCAAATGTAACGGAAATTACATTTTTAAAATATATAAATTATGAAATGTAGAATTTATATTTGGATTATTGCAGGTTATACCCGAAAGTAAATCTCCGGATGGATCCGTGACCGTTTGTCGGAAGTGTCACAATACGTGCCTTGTTTCGCCTTGCAGTACGACTGAAGTTTTCCTGCATACGGAATCTGCCTCAAGGGATTTCAACGCAAATCCCATCTTTGATGAACCTAGTAATAATTACGAATTGCTGAGCCCTTCGGATCCATTCAATCCTTTGCCTGGAATTTCTGTCCATCCACCGAGCCCGCCCAAAAAATCTCAGGCAAGTTAAATAGGCGCGTTTATTTTTCCCAAATCATGGCGGCTGATATATGAATTCATTTGAAATTTTATCTACGGACACTCACAACCAGTTTTAAAGGGAGCTAAAGGATACCTAAGGGGTTGTAGTCGTGGTTTGAACATCAGATATGTCATCTTGATGCCTAATAAAGGACTTACTAAAAATTCAATCGCAGGACTAAGGCTTTCTTTCATAGACGTTTGTTCACCTCTCATACAAACCGCCTAGGAATACATCGAATGCCTACTCATACAATTTTTCTCCCCCCTACTGAATCTACCTTGGTTCCTGGTTGCTAAAGCTATTTTATTTTACCCATATTATACCTTTTTACATGGGTTTTAATACTTTAGAAAATGACACTTTTTAGGATATTTTAATATGGTATTATATACCTAATTTCGGCTACTGAATACCATATTTAAAAGGTATTTGAATGGGTTTCTTAACATACATATATCTTGATGGGTGCTACATGTCTTATTTTGGCTACCAGGGCGTTCCGAAAACAGTTCCTGCTTTCCTTAGGAACATAACCCCATTATTTTGAACGGTTCGATGTAGAAAATGAAACTTTGGGAATGTTCCTATCTCAAAGGGGACCATCTTCTTTTTTTTTGGGGGGGGGAGGGTCAAAATTTTGGCACCCCTCAGCGGGGGTAGGGGGCCCCCAACTTTTTTTTCAAATAGCAACCCCTATCTTGTGATACATAATTGGAAAGAACGCAAAAAACTAAGAATTTCGGCGCAAACCACAGATCAATATCTTAATTTTTGACCGAGTTATGATAGGTCAAAGGTCGAATTTGACCTATTTTCAAAAAATCATAACTCCGGCTCAAGTTATTGCAAAGAAAAAAATAAAAAGGGAAAATTTACCGAATTGTGTTCGCTTTTTAGTAAAAATTGGAGAAATCACTTCGAGCTGATTTTAAGGGGAGGGCTCGGACCCCCAGATACGTCAATCCAAAGGTCATTCAATTTTTCCGCGAAATAAGCCAATTTCCTCTAGGTTTGCCTCCACATTATCTCAGCAGGGTCAAAATCAGTTCAACATTACGTTGGCAAGTCCCCAAATTTCGGGTAAAGTTAAAAAAAACGAAATTTAAAGTGATTAGATTTTCCCGTTTAATTTTTTTCCTGACGATAATTTGAACCGGAGTCATGATTTTTTGAAAATAGGTCAAATTTGACCTTTGACCTACCATAACTCGGTCAAAAATTTAAATATTGATCTGCGGTTTGCGCCAAAATTCTTAGTTCTGTATGTTCTTTCCAATGATATATCACAAGATAGGGGTTGCTTTTTGAAAAAAAAAGTCGGGGGCCCCCCCGCCCCAGCTGAGGGGGGACCAAAATTTTGACCCCCCCCCAAAAAAAAAAAACAANCCTAATCTTTAAAGGATTTTTCCAGACACTGGTAGCCCATAGATTCGACTATAATGTAAGTATATGTTACGAGCAGATCCCGATTTTGGGCAGATTGCTATTTTTTTATACTGCGGAAATTTGGCAGCGCTGGTGGATGCATGAACGAAATGAACGAAATAAGAAATGGACAATAACTCCTGAAGATGCGTACGTTGTCTGATAATGTCCGAATACAGCTGAAACCGCGTCACCGTGACTACGGGGAAATCAGCGTTTTGTTGATATAGTCTCAGTTGACGTGTGGGTACTTGCGCATTGACTGCTGCTGTTCACGTTTTACTAATTTTAGGTGTCGTGTGTTACATCATCTCAAACAATGATAATAGAACAGGAAGTTCTGACCTAGTGAATCCTGCACATCCCGATTGACGCGTTCCACACTCTCCTGGCTCTGGAAATGCCGCGGTTTGCCGTGAGCTATACGTGTCCCCGGTCAAAGGACGATCAATTAATCGAGAACTTTGTTCTCAAATTCTTTCCATTATCACTTTGCAGGATTGTAGGCGTGCCCAGTAAGCAAAAAATATCCAGAAATGTGTAGGTATGCGACTCTTTTGGCAGTTTTCGTTTTCAATGCTTTCAGGACCACACACTTGGATAAGTGATCCTGATAATTTAAAATGAATTTATCTTCACCACTTTCGCACGATTCCATGTCTATCAGATCAACCTGTTCCCTACCTAATTTTTCGGTGAAAACCATAGGTTTGACAGCCATCCCGCGTTCGGTGGCGCCTCTATTTTCTTGGCATGTCTGACAAAGCGATAAATAAACTAAAATGACTTCTCTGTTTACATTAGCTCACTTAATTTTCTCTTTGAATTCGAATTTGCCCCAGATCCGCCCAGAAATCGGGATCTGCCCGTGATGTATACAGAAAAATCGCCCCTGCCAAATGGCCCTCTGCCGCACCCAAACGCTACATGTGTTTAGGTGTTACGCACAGATCGTGTAATTGCCCAATTCATGAAATGAGTAATGTTGTTGCCCAAATCGTGAAATGGCGCAAAAATTGCCCATTACGTGAAATGGGGCAGGGAAAAATTGCCCAATTGACGCATTGGGCAAAAAATTAAAAAAACGCTCACGCTCAATGTGTGTAATTGCCCAATGCGTGAAGTGGGGCATGTGCCAATTCGTGAACGTAGCAACTGCTGAATATTGGTTAAAAGGTACGAGAAAGGACAACAGCGCGGTGGCCCGGTCATCAAGATTCTATCATTTATATCGAGGTGCGGCACATAAATAACTTACTGGGGATGATCTCTTGTTTACTTCCGTAAAAAAATGCTTGGTTTAGCATAGCCAGTAAACAGTTAGCCGTCGCGTCGCGTGGAACGTCGTAGTGCGCCGTACTGATTTTAAATTATTCGTTTTTAAAATCTTCTACTGTATGTTTTAGAGTTATAATGGGGTTATGTTCCTCAATGTTTTTGCCTCTTGAGATTTATCTCGTCTTCAATTTCTTCATCCCACCAGTAAGGATGCTGGTATTTATTACTGCATGGTTTTGCGAACACCTAGGGCTTCTTTCGCTGCAGAGTGGATACAATTTTTGATGAACTGTTACTGCTCTTCCGTGGTACCCGAGAGTCCATCCCAGAGCCTTGACACTAAGGTGCTCCAAACTTTCGATGTTATACCATACTTCATGATTTTGCGTTCCCTGTCTCTGCTGTTGCTCAGGCATTGGCTCTTTATCTTTAATCCCGTTAACGGGAAACGCTATATCTGCTCGGAGGAAATGATGATCACTGCCGCATGAGAGTCCCCTGCACACTCTAACTTGCTGCAATTTCAACTTAGTAGTGTGCTTTACAATTACATAATCGATGATGGATTTCAATCCTCGCGTTGGCTGGACCCAGGTATACTTATGGATGTCTTTGTGTCTTAGGTATTAAATACCATTTTAAAATATCCTATAAAGTGTCCTTTTTTTATAGTATAAAATACCATATAAAAATAGGTATAAAATAGGGTATGTATTAAATACCATATTATATGGGTATGAAATGGGGTACCATTCTAAATGTGTAAAAAATAGGTTTCCAGGTGGCCTGTAAAATACTTGAACTCGTTCGAATGGCTTTCTACATTGACAATACACGGTCTCGTTAAGGTGCATCGTTGACCTCGCAGTTTTGGACCGTGCGGATTGTTATGCTGCTTGCCTATTTGGAAATCTCAGTAAATGAAAACCAATGAGGTTGATATGTGCGAGTTGATGACGCACCTCATCAACACATTGTGTTGGAGTTCACTGCTTGTTCTTTTTTATATTTACTTGTCAAGTACTTTTGGTATTTTCATTGACTCCAAGATGTGCTTTGATGAAGGATACAACACTAGAAATCGTAATAGCCGTTTGCCCCCTGTTCCGTGGCATGTTCATCGCGATAGGTGCAACCGGAACAACCTCAACCCCAATCAAATCGTTCAGGATGACCAGCAACAGAACTTTGCTTTAGATGATCAACAACAACAATTCGCTCAAAATAATCAGCAGCACATGATCCTTTTTAATCAATCTGTCGACTTTAGCCAACCACCACCAGCATTCTTAGCCAATGATAGCATTGACCAGTTGCCTAATTTCATTTTGGTAAATGACCTCGACCTAATTTCTTGGATGAGAATTATAGGTAACTTTAATAACTCACCTTCACTGCATCGGTCACATATACATAATTTCAATAATTACCTAACCCAGAAATAATAACAATCAGAATTTGCTGTCTCAATTCACGCCCAATATTGCTCCTTCACGGTAGGGTGGTTCGCCTTCTATCAACCTTGTCTTAGTGAACGCCATGAGCGCTCAACTTTTGAGTGGTGTTGGTAATAGTTCTGAGAGTACGAATCCTATCAAACCTGTGTCTGACACAGGTACGATACCCTGCCTCAGTCTTTCTTCTCCTTGTCATCACTCGGCCGCGTCGTGCTTCTCTTTTTTGTTTTATGTAGGCGAGTGTTACACATTGGATCTAATCAATTTTTTTTTTTAACGATCGCTACCGTTACCGTTCTTGTCATTGCTGCCGTTATGGTTATGGTTATGGTTATGGTCATGATCATGGTTATGGTTATGGTTATGGTTATGGTTATGGTTATGGTTATGGTTATGGTTATGGTTTTTGTTATCTTCATCGTTACCGTTATCGACGCTGACATCGATATTCAATATCGGTCACCTCTCTTGCGATCCTAAGATTGATTCTGTCGTCGTTGATTTTCCGGGTAATTTTCCTCTGGACCATCTGTAGAAGTGAAATTTGCAGAAAAACGATTGGTACTTGGAGTTGAGGTACGGATTTATTGGGATGGGCAAGAGTACATTTACGTTGAACAGAAGAACTTTCCCAAAGGCAGGAGTTGCTCATTAGATTTCCAAGTAGATTTGTTACATTGTGATGTTTGCGTCGGTTGAGTTTTTAACCGCACCCACTGCCGTCAAAGTCATTAAAACAACGCTGGTGAGAAGTTTTTAACTTCCGTCCATAACAGTGGTGTTTTTTATGACGCCATCTGTTAAAGCTATTTAAGC